GCCCTCGATCGGACCCTTGGTTCGAACCCAATTGTGAATGAAGAACAAACAGTTAAGTAAGAACTTTTGCAATAGCTAGAAAGGAGAAAATGAATTGGTATTGCCTTTGATTTGCGTGTTACAATGTGTGTATCAAAGGAAAAAACCTCCCCTTTATATAGTAAGAGAGTTTGATCCCTAGTACAAGTCTAAAAAGGTAAAAATCTTCCTTTCTCATTAATTACTGATCCGTAACTGACATCGAGCGAGATCCACGTCGTGATATCCGGTCAGGTACGAATATCACGGCCCTTTATCCGTCGTGTGTAACCGTTTACCGTATGTCCCGAGGTTTTAGAAATTGTTCAGTGTCCCGGGAGCGTTGCTTTATTATGCCCGTTGATAAACACATTGTTCTTCTATTATGGGTCTCGATATGAAAGGTTTCCAGCCTCGATTTCAGTCTCGTGCATCCATGCCCTTCTTCCGTTTTCATCACCGGGAAATCGGGGTATGCTATATCCTCGATTTTATTTGTATACCGATAGTTCCCTAGTTTTCTAGAGAGTAGGTTTGCCGAAACAATGAGAAATAATAGATGAACCCCAGTTTCTTCCCTCGTAAGTTATAGCTGAGATGACAGGTAGACTGAAACGTCTTATCAGTCGCGTCATTCTGACTTCGGACATTTGTCAGTCATCGGCTGGCCCTCGTCGAATGTGAAACATCGCGCACTGATTGTCGTTTCCCCTAGCCTCAACCCCTTTGACTTCTTCCACTTTCCGATTCTAGACTCTACCTTCGAACATCCTAACAGCTTTTAACTTCTCCAAATCTTCATATATTGTTCATTGAGCCTTCATATCTTCATGTTCATCTTCATACATCTTCCTTGAACCTTCAACCCAGACCTTCATAACTTCATACTATCTTCAAATCTTCATATTTTTCTTCAACCTTATATTTTTCCAAATTATAATAGCAAAAACGTCTTAGTCAGTGCCTCAGCAGGCTGCCCCTTCATCCCCCCCCCAGATGCCGAGGTGAACGTTACCGAGGTGGCTCAGGAGCCCCCCATGAAGAGCTTCATACCCAGGGGATGTTCTATCAGGGACAACTTCAAGGACGAGAAAGCCTCCAGTCAAAAAGACCGAGGCGAGGGAACATGGAGATACATATGCTCCGTCACTGAAAAACCCTACTCGTAGTCCGAGTTGATTGTAAATGGGAGGGTAAGGACATGGTCGTTTCCGCGCCCAATAACGATATTACCACTCACGTGAAGGGGTGTCTGAGTGTTTACACTTATCCCCTCACGCTCACCCCGGTGGACTCCATAGACCTTGCTTTCTGCAAAATATACAAGGTGTGCGAATCATGCTCCTCTTACGCCATTTTGTGAACAACACTGAAGCTCCTTGGTTAACCCTCGACCATCTACTCCGTCTGTACAGTCCCCGAATTTTCCGATGGGGACTGATCAAGCTCGATCGTCGAGCAAGCAAAGCTCCTTTCTCGAGCATCGACGAGGACTGAGATCGAGGCTAGCAGAGGAGGTTCGTTCGGGTGAAAATCAAAGACCCAGATTTTCCCTCCCCTCCTCTCCCTTGACTTTTTTTTGTTCCCCGAGGAGTGGAACGTATCCCATAAGAATAGTCTTTCTTGGGTACTTCTTTCTTTTTATTATTTCTCTCATTGCCTATATTTGTGGTCGTGTAGATGTTGCCCAAGTTCCTGATGCAATCCCTCGGTTCAAGGAGTGGATCGAGGTCATCTGCAAGCAGATTTCGTACTCCGAGCACGCATGGCGCAAACTTTCGAAGTTAAAATTTGAGGCCCGTTCTCATGGTGAGATTCTTCCCTAAATAGTTATCACTAGACTCTTAACTTACACAGTGCTAACCTTTTCTTTTTTCATACAGGACTACCTAAGACCATCGAACTTAGGTTGCTGGGTGAGGACGAGGATTCGTCCTTGCTTGTTGGGCCCTCCACTTTGGGATAGCCCGGGGATACCGCGAAGGAGGAGAAGAAGAAAAAAAGAAAGTCCTCGGGTTCCCCGGATCCCGAGGTGAAAAGGAAAAATAGAGTGGCCACCCGGGTTCGGAAGCCCAAGAAGATGACCCCAAAGAAGATGACCCCCGAAAAAAGATGGCTTGTGTATGAGCCCGAAGAAGATGACCTCTTCTTCGGTTATGGGTCGACCCTTAGTGACGGGGAGCAAGCGATGACCGAGAAACAGGACCATGAGGTCGATCGCCCTCTAGCTTAGGAACCTGAGAGAGAGATGGAGGTTTTGGCCTCCCTGGAAGTTGCTCCTGTTCCAAAGGAGGCGACCGGTGTCATTGACATTGTGGAGATGCTCTCCTATACCGAATCCATGCTCGAAGAAGCCAAAGCAGGCAAAGAAAAGTCAAGTGAGGGAGCGCAGGGTCCAGATAATTCCCTCAAATCATTTTTCGACGACACGAACATGGCCGCACTGGAGGACTTTTTCGAGCTTGGTAACCTGGAGGTCCCGAAAAGGACGTGCCCTCGAGAGTTGACGGGCTGAGTTCGAGCCTAAAACTAGTGAAGATATTTTTTGCTCCAAGCGTGGACCCCGAGCACAAGAGAACGGTCGTTCTCATAATCCCGGAGGATGCCCGGGTCCTCTCTGCTCCGGTTGTCATAGCCAGCTACCTCCGATGCCTTGTGACCGAGGAGGACTAGGGAAAGATGCACGAGGTGGACACATCATGTCTTTTCAATGAGGCGCATCGGGCGCTTAACCGGGTAAGGCGTTAACCCTTTACTACCCCTTTGTAGATCCTACTTAGGTTTTTGATGTCCACTACTAGTTTCATTGTTTTACAGGCTTCAGTTCTTCACCATGAAATCTTCCTCTAGTATTTTTTGGAGATTACCTAGCTCGAGTTTGAGCTGAAAGAGAATGTCCGGAAGAAGGACATGTACATGGCTCTTAGTGAGCAACATGATGAGACCCTTAACGACATCCCGATTCTCCACACCGAGCTAGAAAAAGCTCAGAAGGAGGCCTCAACCCTGAAGTGGAACACGCTAACCTGGTTGAGAAGGTAATGATCTTTGGAGATAAAAATGAGCAGCTAGTCGTGGTGACTAACAACATGACTTTCCAGTTCCAACATAAGATAGACCTGATTAAACATATGCGGATGAGATGGACGAGGTCAAGGCCACGACCGAAGTGTGGAAGGAAAGGACGGACCTGCTAGCTTCGAAGAAGGAAGCTGCGAAGGCGGAGCTGGAATCGATCGAGAACTAACTTTGGGGTGGTGAAGGATAAAGCCGATAAGTGGTCTCGGCTGAATGTTGATCTTTGGGCACAGCTGAGGTCGGCCATCATGGAGTGGAATGCTCTCGAAAGAGAATATGCGGCATTGAGGTCCAAATTGGATAAAGCCTTTGATGATGTAGAGGAAATGGTGATCCAGTACAAGGCCGATATGGAGGCAGCTGAGACCCACTTGAAAACGAAGAATGATTACATAAAGCGGCTAGCCAAGATTTAAGAAGTTAGGAGGCTCGATTCCGAGGCAAAGAAGCTTTGCGAGCCTAAGGGTCTCGAAGGCTCCTAGGGTTCTGACGGTTCTAGAGACGAGTCAGGCCCCGGGGAAGACCAGGCGTGGATGCCTTAGTATTTTTCTGCTTTCTTTTTCTTATGTATTTTCTGTTTATTTTGAGGACGTTCTATCAGGCCTTTGTAAATAAATTTTAAAATATATATAAGATTTTTCCCTATCTGGGAATATCGTGTCTTTACTTTTCCAGAATCTTATTGTAATTTCTATTTGCGTATTGTTTTTGATGCCTTATCATAGAATTAGATGTAGTTGTGGGCCATTCATTTTTTTTTTGAGGTTTGTATACAGTAAAAATTAACGGTTCGATATTGCGATCATCGAGGCACCTCGTAGAGACTACTTCTAAAAGGCTCGAAGCTCATATCAGGGCTCCGACCCTAAAGGTTCTCAGTTATCGACCTCGAGGCAGCGTAAACAACGATCGACCTCAAGGTAATGTAAATCAGCGGCTACGGTAGATCGATGTGAGGTTTCCAAGGCACGTGACTAGAGCTGACAAAGTCTATTGGGCTAGTTCAAACCCATATCATGGTATTAAATGGTTGTACCAGCCCATATCTTTATAATAAATGTATTTGTACTATGTTGGGATTCCCCCTCATATATAAAGGGGATCCTTATTATTTTGCAAGGGGATCTGATACACAATATAGAATATACAAGAACATTCTCTCAGCTTCCTAACTAAACATATTCTCTTGCTCTCACTACTTACATTTATTGCTTACACTTGTTGTGTTCTATTTATTATTCTTCATTTATTGCTCATTATTGGTCATAAAGAGCTGCCATTGAATTTATCATAGTTGTTAATCCTCCATCGACTTCCCTTAGTCGGGAACCCGACTCAACCTCGAGGCCCTGTACACACAAGCTATTCAGTTTGATTACTATTCTATCTACAAGCTACTATATTATTTTTTCTAATATTTCACTTAACATCTATTGCCTAACAACTAGTATAAAAATAGAACACATATTTTTAGAACCACCAAATCAAATATAATTGTTATTACCATTTTCGAGATAAACAGTTTGGTGCCCACCGTTGGGGCTAAAATTAATAGCGATTGTTTTCTTGCTGGTTTACTACATAACGCAAGTCATCTTTCATGCTTTTTCTTGTCTAAGAATCTTTGATTTTAGGTCAAAATGTCTAACTCAGTGAATGCATATGAAAACAATGGTCTTGAGGACCATGGGGAGAATGGTGTGGATGTTCCGGGCATTGGCACACCGCCACTAAACCTTGGGCACGCGCCAGAGCCAATCCCCGCAGATGTGGTCTCACGCGATGCCCAACACATCGATATAAGCTCCCACACTAACAGTAGAGTACGCCAAGGAGACCAACAAGAAGCTCAGAAAACCCCAGCTAGGGAAGAACGAGAGGTTAGCGTTCACGTTATTTTTGAAATGTTACAGGCACAACAGCTAGCAATTGCTCAGCTACAAAGCCACCAGAAAACACCCAGCACGGTAACACCGGAAACGGCTCCCCAAGCTAAGCAGGCACCAAGAAGATCAAGCAACAATGGGTTGGCAGGCAACCCCGCCATCGTAAAGATGCTTGCGGACCTCACAAAGAGGATTGAGTCAGGCGAGAAGAAGATAGAAGCCAACAACAAGAAAGTGGAGACGTACATTTCTAGGGTCTATCAAATTCCGGGCGCACCCCCAATCTTGAAGGGTGTAGATTCGAAGAAGTTCATACAAAAAACGTTCCCACAGGAAGCGGCCCCAAAACCTATTCCAAAGAAGTTCAGAATGCCCGACCTCCCGAAGTACAACGGAACCTCGGACCCCAACGAGCATGTCACTGCTTAAACTTGTGCAGTGAAGGGCAATGACCTAAAGGACGACGAGATCAAATTCGTCCTACTAAAAAAGTTTGGAGAGACACTTTCGAAAGGGGTGATGATGTGGTATCACAACTTGGCCCCAAACTCGATAGATTCATTTGCCATGCTGGCAAATTCCTTCGTAAAGGCACATGATGGTGCCATCAAGGTAGCTACAAGGAAATCCGATGTTTTCAAAATCTGGCAAAGGGAGAACGAGATGATGTGAGAATTCATATCTCGCTTTCAAATGGAACGAATGGAACTACCACCAGTCTCCGATGACTGGGCAGTGCAGGCCTTCACTCAAGGTTTGAACGAGCGAAGCTCGGTGGCTTCGAAACAGCTGAAGCAGAACATAGTCGATTATACTGTTGTACTTGGTCGGACATCCACAATCGATACCACTAAAAGATCAAGGTTGAAGACGAGCAACTTGGAGCCCCCTCGGGCTCGGTATATCCTAGCAGGCTTTCGGCAAAGGAGCCAAAGCCAAACAAAGAAAGATACCAACCATACACTGAAGATAGGAGAAATGCCCTGAGGTACAACATACCCCGCAATGACCAAAGGATGAACCAAGGCCTGAATCCTCGGGGACTCGTTAAAAGAGCTAGGTTCAATAGCCACATAGGGCCGATGGAGGCACCCTGCTTGTCGGAATACAACTTTAACGTCGATATTTCAGATATCGTATTCGCCATTAGTAAAATTAGAGGTACTAGGTGGCCGAGGCTTGTGCAATCAGATCCTTTGCAGAGGAACCATAACTTAGTGTGTGAATTTCACTGCACACACGGTCACAGGACCGAGGACTGCCGACAATTCTGGAAATTCCTTAGCGACCGAGCCAAAAATTAGTTCTGGGAAAGAGAGGCGACCAAGAAGAATGAAGAAGATGAGCCACAACATGTCATCTGCATGATTTTAGGAGGCATCGATGATCAACAAGAACACATGGTCAGGAGAACGATAATATTCATCACCAGGGAAAAGTGAACTTGAGGTTACATACCCGAGGATGCTCTTACCTTCAGCAACGAAGACATCAAGACCTTGTCTCAGCTTCAGAACAACATATTGGTAATCTTTTTTTTTTTCTAAATACATTTCAAATTAAGCGTGTACTTGTGGATCCAGGTAGCTCGACCAATATTATCAAGTCGAGGGTAGTGGAGAAACTCGGACTGCTTGACCAAATCGTGCCCGCCTCTCGAGTTCTCAACATGTTCAACATGGCGAGTAAAACAACAAAAGAGGAAATCACCATCCCGATCAATGTGGCTGGCACTATCCAATATGCCAAATTCCATGTCATCGAAGGAGACATGAGGTGCAATGCCTTGATCGGAAGGCCATGGATACACTGCATGAGAGCAGTACCATCACCCCTTCACCAAATGATAAAGTTTCCGACGAAGGATGGAATAAAAACCGTGTACGGGGAACAACATGCAATGAGGGGGATATTCGTGGTACACGATGTAGCACCGACACCAACACCTTCGACGTCGAAGAAACCATAGAATAAACAAACAGTTTGGTGCCCATAGTAAAATAGCGATCACGAGATACATTCTCTGGTATACCCGAATAAAACAAGCAAAGGACAGTGTCGTGTCCTCAGAACAAACGTCGAAGCATATCGAGGCTTAAGGCGCCATCAACACTAAGGTATAATCGTCTCCCTTTTTAGTTACATTTTACACTAACCTATGTGTAGGTATCCAATCAAAACAGTCGAAGCACTTTGCAACTTGAAGGCCTTAGGTTCCGAAAGCATACGTTGCACTATTTTCCTTCGATCGGATTTTTTATCCCAAGAAGGGTTTTACCGGCAAGGTTTTTAACAAGGCAACATCCATATGCAACCTAAGGAAGACTCAACAAGTATTCAAGGTTTCTCTTCAACCAACCTCGAATACTAGGGGGGCATCCCCCTAAAGTCACCTCGGAGGAGAAGCCAAGATGTGCTAAATGGGGTCTCGATAGGAAAATGATGTACCGGGCTAAACGGTCGAACGAACTGTGCCCGTATAGAATAACCGAGCCCTTGATAGAAAAAACATGTATACTTGTACCAAGTAATCAAAGAATACTTTCTCCTCCATCAAAGCATTTCGCGTTTCAAAGGAGTTCAGTATTTTTTACAAAAACGGCTCCAGAGCCAAAAACGTCCTGAACACTCGGGGACTGACGTCAAAAAACTCGAAACCGTATGATCTCCGGGTCAAAAGCTTCAAACTTGTAGGCCCTCAATGAGGCAACATCAAGGTTACAAAAATAGCTCTAGAAGCCAAGAACGTCCCGAACACTCGGGGACTGGCGTAAAAAACTCAAAACTGTATGACCCCCGGGGTTGGAAGCTTCAAGCTCGTAAGACCTCAATGAGGCAACGTCAAGTATACAAAAATGGCTCCAAATCCAAGAAAACTTCCAATGTCTCGGGGACTGCCGAGGCCATAAGACCCCATATGGGCAACCTCGACCCCGTAAGACTTTATAAGGCAATACCAAAAACTGTAAGACCTCAACCGAGGCATGAACCATACATGTACAAAGTAACCAAAACTATAAGACATCAAAGTATGTAAAAATTATAAGACCTTACAAAAAGGCATTATCCCGACCATAAAGTTAAGGCTATATATTCAAACTTGTAAGACCCCTAAAAAGGCATACCCTCGATATAGACACGGAAACTACTTCACTCGAGGACTAAAAGGCTCCAGCCAAACACAATGACTACGATCACAAGGCTGTACCAGCCAAACTAATACGACTCGGGGATGCCTGACCGTCGCTATAAAATCACAGGCCTTCAATTACTTTAAAAGTACTTCAAAAAGAACCGGTTAAACAGGCAACCCTCGACATAGGCAAAAGAGCTTTGACCATGTAAGATCCGAACTATAGGCTTCGAAACACTCAGCCACTGAGCAAAACCTCTCGAGGTGCTCATCGCCACATAACGACTCACAATTAAGGTTTTTATCGAACCGTCGAAGAGTCAAGCAATCACAATTTCAAAAAGTCCTTAACGAGGAAAAAATAAAGCCTATACAAGAGGTTGTACCGGCCCAATGCGTAAGAGCAACTGTCGCCAGCCCATATAAAGGTTCGTACCGACACAATGTGTAAGAGCCACTGTTGGTAGCCCATATCAGAGGTCGTACTAACCCAACGCGTAAGAGCCACTGCCGCCAACCCATATAAAAGGTCGTGCTGACCTAACGCGTAAGAGCCTAAAGGCCACCTTTAAATTCAAAACCTTAAAGGCTAATGAGCTCAAGTCAAAACCCGTCTCGGATACTAAACCCAAAACAGTTAACTGAATATGCCTAAGAGCAAAAGTTTAAGAGCTTAAACGCCGACTTATGCTAACAGGTCGCACTGACCAAATGCGTGAGAGCCTACGGGTCAGCCCCACGAGCCCCAGGGTCATGCGACAATCTTAAGGGTTCTTTTTAACTCGAAGACCAGTTCAATCTGGCTAATGACTGACAAACATCGAAGAAGGGGAAGTGCATGAAAAATGAAACCGCAAGGCTTCCTTTTATACGTATATGTGAAAAAATACAAAGCTCCATTTACAATGTTCTTTAAAAGAACTGATGATAGGTTATAATTATGTATTTTAGTCACTTATTACACTCTAATTTACTGCACTTTAATTGAGTTTGAGCTTTAAACGCTAGTGTTTTGCACTAATTGTGTGTTTTATGCTTTGTAGTCGTGATTTCGAGCTATGTAGATGTTAAGGAATTAATTCAAGTGATTTAGAACTTTAAAGTCTGAGTAAAAACTCAAGGAACTAAGCTGAGATCGTGTTCGGGGATCAGCGGATGATAGTTAGAACGAACGAAGAATCGAGTAGGCATATTGCATACTGTCTAGTAAAATAGACATAACGTTTTTCTTAGAACTCCATTTGGGCTCCACAATATATGGTTGGAAATATAACTCAAAGGGATACAACTTTCATGTTTTACATTTTTCCAAATTCTAAACAGAACAGGGTGAAAATTGTGCTTTAAGTGCGCGGCCATGCTCATGCCGCGCTCGTCTGGCAGAATACTAGGCAATATGCTTGATCACCAGTGCGGCCGCGCTAGCCAAATCCGGGAAAAGTGTTTTTTCATATAGGAGAATGTATAATTGTTTGGGCCCGACCCTCCTTGGTATATATACATGGAAAAACGGTATTTTGACGAGGTTAGACAGCTTTGAGACACAAATTCGACCTAAGGAGGTAAAGACACAATAGGAGCAAGGCGGGAAATTCTTCTACGAGTTTTTTCCTTCCTCTTCCTATTTTTCATTGTTGGTTATGACTTTTAGTATTGTAGTTTTACATACTATTAGGAATAGCTAAATTGTTATCTAGGGGTTTGATGGAACCTTTTGTAGGATAAATTCTTGTTATGTTTTTATATAATTGAGCCGTAGTATTTTCTTTGTTTGTTCAACTATATTATTCTTGTGGTTGATTGAAGGGCCCTCAATAGCTGTGCCTATTTAGTATGTATTACTCGGGAAAGAGTGCATATTCAGGTAGTTGTTGAACAACATCACTCCCGACGTATGTGAGGAATCAATAACCAAGGGTTTAAAGGTGGGATTAGGGATAACGAAACCTTGGGTGCAATCTAAGTGAGCTGTAATTAAAGCCAGCTAGCGTAACTCGGGAGAATATGTCAAGTAAATTATCGTAATTACTCAGGAGATAATTACAACACGCAGAGCGCTCATGATTGGTAGAAAATACTTAGGCAAAATTATAAAAGACATAGTGGAAAGGATTCCGACAATTGGGGAAATCATAACTCTTGACCTCCTTAATCTTTTCTCCAACCTGTAGTATCTTTAGTGTTAATTTATTATTTTAATTTTCTAGTTAGCAAGTTAAACACAAGAATCTTAATATCTATAAGTTAGGAATTGTTCAAGCTTGTATTCTTGGTGATAGTGAACAACTGTAGCTAAGCCTTAGTTTTCTGTGGGATTCGACTCCAGACTTGTAAACCGGATTATATTTGCAACAACCGCTTTGTACTTTTTATAAGGCATAGTTGAGAGTGTTTAAATTTTGGCGCCATTGTCGGGGAACTAATGGCGTACCTGTAGGTGTACATATTTCTAGGTTGCAAGTTTGAAGTGTTATTTCTATTTTCGTGTATTTGATTATTTATTTATTTTAAATTTTTTTTATTTTTGATATGAGAGACATGGAATCTTGTAATTATGAGAGTTTTGATGTTGTAATTCTACTTTTGATCCTCGTTATGCATATTGTGGAGGAAACCACGCGGGGAAAAATTATCAAAATATTCCCGAGAGCGAGTTATGTGCACCAACTCAATATTATGTATGGAATGTGTGTGATATGTGTGGTGGTCAAGATGGTCACTTTCATGGTTTTGCTTATAGTTCTTATCTTCTCCCAACCCTTACTTTAATGATTCTTTGTTTCCTTGTGAAGTTAATAGGAGTAAAGAACCCAGGGATGATGACCGAAAAGAGATCAAGATATGTTAAAGTATTGCATGGAACTATATGATAAGATACTATGGCATATACAAAGGCAAGAAGCAACTCACAACATGGAGGCTTAATCGAATAAATTAATTGAACTTTGTAAAGTGCAACAAGTTGATATTGTGGATAGTAGCCAATATGAGCATGAATTGGCTGCAGAAATTGCCATTATACTGGAGGATTTAAAAAAAATATGAGGATGAGCTAGAGGAGAAGGCCAGAGTAGAACACCAACAATCAATCGAACTAGATTTTGAGGATGCCAATGTCGTAGAAGAGATACTAGAGTCAACCAAGGATATTGCGGATAAATATTTAGTTTACTCTATTGTCATTAGTGTTGAGAATGTAGACAGTCCCAATGTTCATGTAGTTGAGCGCATTGGTCCACACTCCAAACATTTTTCCACATTGTGTTTGGATGATTATATAGAAATAGAGTCATCCAAGTCACTTTAGGAGTCAAGGAATGAGGAACAAGGTGCTTACATTCTGGAGTTCTTCTTGCCAGAAAGTCGGAATTACACACCTCATCTAAAGGCCAAGAAGTGCAGAATACTACATCATTTTGTTGGGCCAGTCAGATTCATTTCACCGCCCCAAGAGCATGATCATAGAGCAGAATCAAAACTTGGGGTCCAATTTATATGTTCAAAGTGGAGGCAGAAAGTGATTCGTGTCGTGCCGCGATGTTAAATAAAGTGCTTATTGAGAGGCAACCCAGCTTTACTGCGCTCTTTTATCTTTTAGTTGTATTATTTCTATATTGTCAATTTTTGATTTTCTAGGAGCATGAAAAGCAAGGTTATTGGAAGTATGCAACATCGAAGCAGATGGTTAGAACTAAGTGTGAGGTACCCGCACGAAGGACCAAGCATGAGAGAAGTCTGAGTACCCCATGAGCTGCTAGTACTTTGCTTTTGGCCTATCAGGGAGTTTATTTTACCCTATTGTTAGTATGGTGTGCATTGGGGATAATGCACAATTC